ATACTGCAAATATTTTCATTATTTATTGCTATTAATGTCGAAGTCTATTAAAATACTTTTGTTAAAATAATCTATTTATATAATGTGTTGAAGTTGTGTCGCGACCAAGATGCAATCCTCACATGTATTAAATAATAATAATTACCCTAAAGGCGGACGTATACCACGCGTATCAAGTGATCAAAGCTCATGGAATACCCGATGAAAATATAATTGTCATGCATTACGACGACTTGGCTAATAATGAACGAAACCCGACCCCCGGTGTGATTGTTAACCGCAAAGGGGGTCCCGATGTTTATAAAGGGGTTCCCAAAGACTACACTGGAATAGAGGTTACACCACAGGTATTAATAACATTTATTACTAACTTGTAGTTACGATAATAATTTACACATTACTATCCATTTGCAGAATTTCCTCGCAATACTCCGGGGCGACGAGGAGTTGGCCAAAGCGGGCAAAAAAGTAGTTAAAAGCGGTCCAAATGATCGCATATTTGTCTATTTAGATGACCATGGATCGGAAGGTTAGTGTATAAACTAGATATTTTATTATACGTTGCATTAATTAAACATTATATTAAAATTTAAATTACCAGGATACGTTGTGTTCCCTCATGGTAATCTCAAGGCCCATGATTTAACTGATACACTGGTGGCTATGCATAAGGAAAACAAATATAAAGAACTAGTATTTTATTTAGCCGCCTGTTATGCAGGTAATTTTTAACTAGTTATGCTATATTAACTTTTGTGTTATTTAATATGTTAAATATTCTTTTGAAAGGGTCCATGTTTGATAAAATATTACCCAACAACATTAATGCCTACGCTATGTCTGCCACATTACCGGATGAGCTTGGTTGGTTTTCGGATTGCTCTGTTGACGAGCGTCATACATGTTTATGTATGTGTTAAATAAGCTAATACAAAATAGTTACATGTTTAAATCACATTTAAATAGATTAATTTAACAAAATTAATTTTATTATAATAAATAGCGGTACAGTTTGCCGTGGCCTGGCTCAACGATAGCGAACATCATGACTTGACCAAGGAGAGTATCAAGACACAGTACGATTACATCGCCCACGCTGTAAATAATTATTAATATTAATTTAATTTAATTTATTTAGTTAATTTTAATTATATTATGCAGTTTACTGATCAGCATGCTCAACAATATGGTGACTTATCTATTGCCGCTGAGCACTTGTCTAATTATATGGGTTTGTAATAATTTTAGCATTACTTGAATTTAATTTTTTAATTAATTCAATCTTGTTAAAATTAACTACTATTAATTTAGGTGAGAAACAGGTGCCGAGTGTTGGCCAGTATTCACAACCGGCCAATTCTGTGCCCATACCGGACGCACCCATATATTTAGCTCAACGTATGATTGAAGTCACAAATGAATTAGGATTAAAACAGATGCATGTTCTTTTTAAATAAGATAAAATATAATAATTGTTTTTATTAATTAAATACTTTATTATAAATTAATAGTTATGTGAATGAATTGGAAGTATTGTTAAGAAATCGGGAATTAATGGACAAACAGATCGAGGAATACGTGAATACTTTGCCGGGAATTGAGGCCAATGTTGTACTCAATAGTAAACTACAGATCAATAACAAAGAGTGTTATCACAAACTTGTGGACACCTTTCACGACAAATGTTATAATTTAGGACAAGTATGATATCATAAAAAAGATTTACATTATATAGATATCGAATGTTTTAATTATAAAATTAATTACAATTTATTATTTGTTTATTCCCAGAATTCGTATGCAATACAGAAAATGAAAGTTTTGGGCAATATTTGCCACTCGAGTGATGCGGACGTCAATACTTTCAACCAATTGCTGATCAATTACTGCAATACTATTGTCAAACCAAACACTAATATTATATAATTATTATATTATTAATCAACAAGTGTTTATTAATGAAATATTAATTTTATAAAACAAACATGCAATAAACTAGTTGTTAATTACGTAATAAGTTCTAATATACTACATTAATAATAAAAATTCGATACAATAGGTATATTCCACAATAATTTATTATGAATAATATTATTGGTTGTAATGTTTTTGTATATTTCATATTATCTAATTATATAAATATGTTAAGTAAATAATGTAACTTGTAATACAGAAACCGATTTAATATAAAATAATGTATAAAACATGCAATATATATAATGTATAATGCAAATTGTGTTTTATTGCATACAAAATTATTATCAAATATATTAATAAATCTTTAATATACTTTAATATAAATATTCTGATACAAAATATTTACCATCTTGCACGCTATACTGATATGATAGCAATTAGAATGTTATAATTAACTGAATATTATTCTTTAATATTGATATATTACTTTAATGCTATTAAAATTAATTTTTGTTATTATTGATTTGTCTTTTATTTTGTGCATAGTGCATATTAAAAGTCAACATGTTTCTAACGTTTATATTGCTAATACCTAAATTTTACATGTATCATAAGAAATATCATAATAACCATTCAGTTATTTAAAAATCAATTATATTTATAAAACAGTATAAAAATAAATATTACACGAATTAAAAATTTATTTAAAGTAAATAAAAGTTTTATAATTAGTAACTATTCTATCTAGTAATCATTAATAAAAGTCTTGATATATTTCTATGTTTGTCATATATACAGTATATTAAGCTAATAATTTTAAAATGTGGTCCAAAATATCGCTAAAAAATTTATTATTAAACTCAATACTATTGTGTGGATTTCTATACCAAACGTATGAAATGAGTTTAATATACTTTTCATACGAAACCACAACAACCATAAACAGAGAGTCGCCGTCAGTGCTGTACCCGCCGGGGCTCACCATTTGTACGCACATTGATTCAATATTGAGATTAATTATTAACACAACTGATTCCGACAATCGGCCCGACATGAAATTAATGACTAATTATCAAATCGATGAATTAATTGACATGGTTGACAAATACAAAATGTACACGTGTAACTATGGCAGTTTAAAGTTGAAAAAGCCATGCTCAGCCATCGCGCCCGTGCGCACAGGTCTAGACGCAAATATAAATGTAATTTGTTGGACAGCGTTGTCTCAATGGTCGGGTGAATCGGGCACCCAGTATAAATTGGATACATCGAGCAATTTAAACAGATTGTTGGCGTTTATATTGAATAATACCACGATGATTGATCGTAGGTTATACGTACATTTTCATTCACGATGGGATATGTTGAGGCAATTTTATTTTAAAAATATGTTTAGAATTGAACTTAATGAAAATATCACCCGTTGCGAGATTAAATACCGCAAAACCACTGTTATATTAAAGTATAAGTTTAATAACAATAAATGTTTAAAGAGGCACAAAATTACCGCATGTATTGACGAGTGTTTTATTCGGCAATATTATCAAAAGTATTCCGTATTTCCATTGAAATATATTTACTATAAAAATATCGATAAAAGCAATCGTACGGCAAGTTTTGGCCATAAAAACGATAGTGATATTAAAGTGTACTGCGAGCGCAAATGCGGCGATCATATTGAATGCATACAACACTACCACTCATTTAATTATGAATGCGATAAACAGTATCGAAAGGACAAGAAAAATGTTTTTGATATATTTTTTCAAATACCGTCAGAACCCGATATGATGTACGAGATATCATTGAAAATGTCATTTGAAGAGTACGTGGTATTCATGGGATCACTACTGAGCCTATGGTTTGGTTTATCAATTATTGTGTGTACAAAATTAGTAGCACAAGTGATTATGAAATTCAAGCCTTATATAAAACAGAGGAATCAAATAATTATTAATCACAATGTGGTAAATTTCAATAATACAAATCAATTGTTTAATATTAGTAATGCCAGAATTAATTTATCTGGCATACAAAATAACGTGAGTTCTGGACCAAGAGTTTTGCCATCTTAATTATTATTAAGGCACTTATTTTGCTTTTATTATTAGATTGACATTTAATTATTAATTCACTTTGTATAATGTGTATACAATTAATAATATAAAAATATTTGTGAATATATACAAAGAAATACATCAATGTTATCAAATAATTGCTGATAGAATACAGAGAAGTTATTGTCAAACTAATTAAAATATGTGTATAGTTACATGTTTTAATTAATTGTATTAACAAAAAGGAATCCCAAAATAGAAATAATTTAAAAATATTTATTAATAATAATTTATTAATCTGAGTTAAATGTGCACAAAACTTAATATACAATCATGCCAAAATTATTCATTATTATTAAACCGGCAACGATCGCAATCGCAGCGCTTAATGCAACACAGGGACTTAAACTTAGCTATTTGATTCTCAAGCACCCTGCTGGTCGCATCGTACTGCTGGCCCCATAGCATAGCCATTACACTCGTATAGTTATCCAACGTAGTGTAGGTCAATAATTTGGGCTTAAAATCAGGTATGAAATAAGCCCAGACCATCATGGTTTGGTCAGTGTTAACTAATTGTATGGGCACTTCCATACGCATGTGCCATACAGGCTGTGAGCATAGCTGATCAATACGGGCCCTCATCCGGTCGTCCAACAGGTATAAGTCGCCCATTACTCGCTGTTGGGACAAATGATTACATGGTAAACATTTTCAAGTATAACTAGATTAAATAACTAATATTGGTATTATTTTTGATTAGTTTTTAATGCACCTTTCCAGTATGTCGTTTAAATAGCAATATGGGCATATTATGTTTGGACACAATAACTAATGGCCATTTATGGACCGTCTGTGCCTGTCCACAGTACTCCGCCCGACCATGATTATTATCCGAAAGGTAATAATTATTTGGTTCACCTAATTATAAAAAGTGTTAATTATATAATGTGTGAGATATGTTTTGTTTATATTTAATGATTGTGAATGTGTTTTAATTATAACATATTGTAGATAATAATAGTTAAATTACCCATTTTAATTGTGCCATAGAAGAACACGTATTGGTTATTCATGGTGTTAACCACTAAATAACTAAGATTGTTTGTTTTTAATTAATATGAAAAATACCACTATATAATATGGTGTTTATTATTATTGTAAAAATACTTGCAATTAAACTAATTTAAATGACAATGTTTTATTAATAACATCTGGCTTGAATATTTTAAATAATAAAATTTCAGTTAATTTTACAAATTTTTAACATTACATATTTGAGAATTAAATATTTTAATCTAAGACATGGTAAAATATTTAACAATTATCAAATATGTATTTTATACTTAGGTTAGACTATCTCATTGTAACCTAGGTAATTTAAAAATTCAGATAATAGTTTATTGTATAAGCAGTAAAAAATAAATAATTTTTTTTGAATAACTTATTTCACCTTCATTCCATAACCATTAAGTTATATGCTTTCATTTAAGTTAAGTTAAAACATTTATTTATATTTTTATTTACAGCTACTATCATGATGTTATTATTAGTTTACGAAAACATACATCCAATTATTTCTAACATGTTTGTATATTTAAAATGAGTAATAGTTGATTTAGGTTCAATTGAATAGTGTAATTTATTATAAAATAACTCTACTATTTTAAAATATATTGAATGTTAAATTAGTAAATTCTCTATGTAAGACCTACTAATTGTTTGATTAATCTTGATTATTAGTTATAATTTATAACTATTATAAACACATTTTAAAAGCAATTTAATGCATAATAAAACATTTATTTTATTACCAAAATAAAATCATTTGAGTGTTTTTAAACTATACAAATAAAAATAATTAAATAACCTTAATTATTTATTTTGGGACAGCCTTGTTGTTTAACGCAAACATTATTAACGGTGTCGCGAACCGTACCGGAAATGCATTGACACGACGGCTTGACTTCAATTACCATACAAAATGGTCCGTTAGGGTCGGCACAGGTAGGCGGACATCCGGGTGTTGTTCTCAAGTAGACTTCATTCGAGCCACAGTTTAGCCCTTTTTAAGTTTACGTAATTAAGTTTAAAATTTACTTTTAATTAAAAACTTTTTACCAAATACGTTGATAATTGATGTCGATAATAGAATTGTAGCTATTATGAATTTCATCTTGATGAAGTACTCTCTAGCTAGAACAAGTAAGGAATATAATTGTCTATCATTATTCAGTGATTTATATTTGTGAATTGCTTATGCTAGACAGACAATTATTTTATTATCATAAATTATTCATTGAATCATAATTATTATGCACATTTTCTATTTATATTATTGTAATATGTATTTCGCAATTCAATTGCATTTACATTAAAGAGTTTAATAAATGAATTTATTTTATATTAAAATATTATTTTCTACTTTATAAATTTTATAAATTAACTGAAAAACAATTGTCTGTTTTAAATGCAATATCATTAAATAATTAACAGTTATTTATATAAATACATAAATACCTCTACTTTACATGTAAACTTTACTAAAAATCTACATTATACATAATGTTGAAACTTACTTATCTTTTATATACAGTACGTCCCCGAATTTGGCACACGCGATTTTAGCAGAATTCGATTTTAGCATAAGGTTTTGTTAGCACCGGCGAGTCATATTAGCACTGCTAATGAACCCGATTTTAGCAGAACTCAATTTTGACACATCTTTTTCACATCACCAATGACATGCCAAATTCGGGGACGGACTGTATTTTTTATATTTAAAAATTAGATCAGTAAAATTACTTAAACTATAATCAATACAAAACATATGGATATAATATATATTTATCAGATAAAGTGTTATGTTTTTAAGTTATTTTCTAAGAATTATAAGTATAAAACGATAATATTTTTGTACATATCATAATTAGAAACCTCAATTTAATTATTAATTAAAATTTTAAATAATGAATTCTGCTTTTAAAATAAAATCTCATTGTTAATTAGTTTTGTTAGTTAATTTTTTTTATTATTATATTATGACATATTGCCATTCATTGTTTAAATACATGTAAGTATTTTATAAAATTTAAACACTATTAAATCAACGAACAAATAATTTTCAAGTTATCTATTAGTTTAATTTACTATCAAATTGATAATGTTAAATTCGGTACGATATATGCTGTATTAAATTCACAATCATCAAACATAATTTACAAAATAATTGACTTATGGTCAAATTCATGTGAGAGCTAGTTTTAGATAATAAAATTATAATTGATATTTTTTAATTATTCCTGTAATAAGGAACTGTACCTAATTCTAGTACATTGTTTACTTTAAACAATTGTATTTTTAAAAATAAAATTTTGTATATAAATGCTGTACAATAAAAAACTCTTAATTGACATAGCTGAATAAACACCAAAAGTTACTATAACTAATTATGAAGCTACATTGTTTAATTTTGTTAGTATTATATATTACTATAGCTAATGGACTGCCATTTGCCGACGTATTCGACAACGATGTGGACAATAGTCACAAATGGGTGGTATTGTGCACCGGGAGTAGCGGGTGAAGTAATTACGGAGATCAGGTACAAATATTAACAATAAATTTAATAAATAAATATTTTAACAAGCTCATTTATTATAATTAATCGCAAAATAGGCACTTGTAATGCGAGGCTACCATATGTTTCGCTCGTATGGCATACCGGAGAGCAATATAATAGTCATGTTTTACGACGATATCGCCAACAGTACACACAATCCGACCCCCGGTATAGTCATCAACGAGAGAGGGGGTCCCGACCTGTATAAAGGTGTGCCCAAAGACTATACCGGTAAAGAAGTTACACCCGAGGTAAATTATTAAAATTTACATTATAAAGTTACACTTTAAATATATATTTATATCATTTAATTAGTTTATATAATAAATAATTAAATCTAGAACTTTTTGGCTGTAATGCAAGGCGACCCTGAGTTAGCCAAACAGGGTAAAAAGGTTGTCAACAGCGGGCCAAACGATCATGTGTTTATATATTTTGGCGACCATGGTTCGACAGGTAAATGAAAATAGCGAAATATTATTTAAACTTAATTTAAGTATTTATAATTAATTGGTTCAATTAGAAATGCTCATGTTCCCATCGACTTACCTGAAAGCCAGTGACCTAAACAAAGCGCTGGTCTCTATGCACGAGAAACACCGGTTCGCCGAACTTGCTATTTATATTGACGCTTGTGAATCAGGTTCATTTTAATTATTTATTTCAACGTGATCCGTAATAACTAATATAAGTATTACAATTCAATTTATAAAAATAATAAATTACCAGGCTCCATGTTTCGCAATATACTTGCCGATAATATTAAAGTGTATGCTACATCATCATCTGATTATAATGAGCTTAGTTGGTTTTGGAATTGGGATGATAAGTACGATACCTGGTTAAGTAAGTGATGTTGTTTAATAAAAAACAAACATAGTTTATTAATAACTGACAAATTAATTTATCAGGCTCATTCTTTGCCGACAACTGGCTCGATAATGATGAGACCAGCGATTTAAAAACCGAGACCATGCAGCAACAATTTCAATTTTTCAAAGAACATAACTTGGTCAATTATACTCACTTAAACGTAACTCATTCGGTTCATTCACAACAATATGGTGATTTGTCACTTACAAAAGTAACTGTATCTGAGTTTTTAAGTATGAATTAATTAATTATTTATTTATATATAACTAATTGAATAAGTTGAATTACATATTTACCCTGTTTATGTATGATATAATTAACAGGTAGTAAACCTAATGGTGTAATCAATAGGCGTAAAGCAGAGCAAAATAATGAGGCGGTTAGTAAATGGGACGCAAAGTTGGTTTCACTTGAGAAACGCATCGAAAAGACTGAGGATATCAACGAGGAAAACAGGTATGAAATAATGTGACATGTTTTTAATTTTATTGTAATGAAATTTTTGTTTTGATAGACTTTTAGCAGAGTTAGAGAACTTATACGCCGGCAGGAAATATGTGGACAAACATATGACTGAATACGTGAATAGTATTCAACACTTACTGACAGTCGATAGCAATGCTATTCTAAACACTAAACAAGAGCTCAATGATAGACAGTGTTATGAAACTTTGGTCGACACGTATAACGAGAACTGCTTACAAATAAGCAAGGTATTTTGATTTTTATTATTGAATTATATTTCAATCGTTACTAAAACTTAAAAGAATTATTTTAAACTCGTGTTATTTCCCATAGAATTTATATGTATTACGAAAAATGAACATTTTTGTTAACCTATGCGAACACATGAGTGACACAAATGATGATAAGAATATTGTTATTCAATTACAACAATACTGTCAACAAAACAACATTAAGCGACACACGTTTGGGTCAATTGTTTAATTACTTCTAATATTTTATTTCAATTACTTTATGTATTAAACTATCAATAAATACATAATAAATTTTTAAGATTATAAAAACAAATACATTAATTAAAATAATATAACATTATTGTATATAGTGAATTTATTTAGGTGAATAATTATTACCCTTTACATCTATCCAGATGTTATCACTTTTACCCTGAAGCCGTATCTGACCATCGTCCGTAATTATGACCGACCGTTTAGTATCCACCGGATAATTAGTACATAAGGCAATCCCTTTATTATGATTATTATCACGAACGATCACTGTAATATATAACAATGCAGATTGTCTAACTTTACGGTGCCAGCCACCATAGCGTATCATTACTTTCTCATCGACCCGACCCTTGCTCAATTTAAGTTTAAATTCACAATGGTAATTTAAATCGATTGAATCAATCGTGAGCTCCTGGTGAGAGAAATAGACAGCGCACCGGTCGGCACCGGTATAGGCGTTTGCGATGTACGTAACGTTTGAACCATGAGCGTTATTCATCTGGCTAATAGCGTGTTTGGTAATTTTACCGCCCATGGTTGGGTATTAAAATAAATAAGTTTTTTTTTAAAAACTTGATGCTTAATATGTCAATGCTAAAAATTTGTCGCATTTGCCAAGCACATTTGCTCGCTTTGTTTTATAAAGTATATTGTTAAACGTTAGACTGAATGTAAAAATACACTTGTTCAAATACTGTACATTCACCGCTGTGTTCACACCGTATTGAATGCACATGTTTAAATAATCTCCAAAAAATTATATTGATAATATACATTGTTATAATACAGAGTTGGGCATAAGTGACTGGAGTTTTAATTAATTTTTTAAAAATACTTAGAGTTGAGATATTTTGTTGAAGTAAAGTTTGTTTTGATCACAAAAGTGTGTAGTTTTTTTAGCACATGTTTT